AAAAAACCTAGAACATATGAAGAACTAAAAAAGTGAGGGCCCCAAAATTTAAAGACCCAATCGAAAAATGGAACATCTGAGATGAACACACACTTCTCAGAGGAGGAAATACAAGAAGCAAATAAATACATGGAAAAATGCTCCACATCGCTAGCCATTAGTGAAACTCAAAACAGCATTAAGATACCATTTCACCCCAGGAAGAATGGCTATCATAAAGAAATCAGCTAAACATAAATGCTGAAGAGGCTGCGTGGAAAAAGGGAACTTTTCTCCACTGCTGGTAGGAATGTAGACTGGTACAACCACTATGGGAATAAATGTGGAGACTCCTCAAAAAACTTACTGGAAATCCCATTCAATCTAGATATTCCCCTTCTCGATATTTTTCCCAGAAGAACTGAAAACATCATATCATTGTGATATATGTGTACCTATGTTTACAGCAACACACTTTGTCATAGCCAAATCTTGGAAGCAAAAAATGCCCATTGCCCAACCAATGGATGAAAAAGTTGTGGCATTTTATACAGTGCAGTATTACTCAGCTATAAAGAAAAACAAACTTGAAGCCTTTGTAAGTAAGTGGATGCAACTAGAGGCTATACTCATAAGTGAAGTAAACCAGACCCACATGTGTAAATATCGTGTTGTCTCCCTAGTATAAGAACCCTAAAGAAATAAAATCTGAAAGGTATAACACATATAGTAAAACAGAAAGAAATGGAACTTTAGGATTAAACAATGAAAAGCATAGAAAGGAGAAAAGATAAGAAAAAATGTAGGGGAGAAAACATGCAAGTATATATCCAGGATGGCTGAGGTAATTGTACTAAATATCTCCATCAGTTTTTTGAAAATAGTGTAGAATTTTCACCTTGACTAACTGTATACTGATATCTGCAATCTAAGCAACTACATTGAGGACAGCCATATGAATACAAAACTCATGCTTGATTACCTGTCATCTTGGTCTTCTAAGTGTGTACAGTTTCTAATGTCATATAGGTTATTTTTTTTCTTTTTATGTCAATTATTAATACACTATCTTTAAAATAAATGTTTAAAGTAAAAGACGAGAACAAAAATTTAAGGTTTCTTGAAAGCAAGCACTAATATGCAACTATATGTCCAATATTATATAACTATATCTGTTAATCTGAGCAACAGATTTTTTTTGGAATTTTATTTTTTATTTTTATTTTTTGCCATAATTTTATTGATAAACAAATAGCAATGAGACAGTTTCCAATCAAATCGGTAGGACAGTTTCAATAATTAACACACTGCATATATTCTTCTTAGTGGTTAATTGCTGTACAAGATGCGGACTTGATATCCTATTTACAAACACCATTAGAACAAATCATTCTATTCATTAACAGAATGCAACTATATATCCATCCCAACCACTTTGAATACACAGACACAAAATGGACATTCATCTGTATTCCCTTTTTTTGTTA